ATTGAGTTATGATATCCCAGTTGTTTCCCAAATTATTTGACCTATCCCGATGACAGCTCTCCAAATATCCCACTGGTTATGAGCCGCACCTGAGCGGCTTTCTCCGGCTTCTCCTCTGACCGTTGGGGATGAGTGGCGAAGTGTCCCATGGGAACCCAGGGAAAAGTCCAGAGAAATCACAATTAAAAAACATTATATTTTGCGGCATGTTTAGTTGTTAACAAACCCATATGTCATACGAGTCACATGTCTTAAACCAAAATTTGGGTACGGGTCAAAATTAAATATCATGAGGATACCCCTAGAATTGGATGGTTAAACCTGAATGAGCAGAATCTGCGATCCCCTTGGTCTAAAATGTTGACACATTCTCATTGATTGTTGCTTTGTTAGTTCGAACGCAATTTATTGCTGGTTAAATCACCAGTTGAGTTTATTGTTGGTTGAAACCTGTTAAAAGCTCACCTAAGCAAGGTCCAATTCTGATGTTTGCTGGTTGAATACCCCTAACTATAGTATTTGTCGATTTGTGTTGTTTTTTCCCCAGCAATTTCGTTGCAGATCACGAAAGCGTCCAACGCATCCCTCCAAAGCCTGGACATTTCTTTCAGTCTTGTTCTGAGGTGCTTCGCCTGAAAGGGTGATTTATTTTCCTATGCAAAAAACATGCGATGCCGGCGATGCCTCTATGGCCAAAGGAGTTTGGTGCCTTACATCCCTCCATGTACGTATGTACATAAATAGATATATATATATATGATATATGCATTGCACCTTGTGTGGATATACATTAACATCAGCATCACTATGTTTGTTGTGAAAGTACCATGATGGGAATGTATGAACTAGTTTACACCCTATGTCAAATATAATGCATATCCTTATTCCAAACCCAACAGTGTATATATATGTATGTATGTATGTATGTATGCATGTATGCATGTATGCATGTATGCATGTATGCATGTATGGTATGTATGCATGTATGGCATGTATGGCATGTATGGTATGTATGGTATGTATGGTATGTATGGTATGTATGGTATGTATGGTATGTATGGTATGTATGGTATGTATGGTATGTATGGGATGTATGGAATGTATGGTATGTATGGTATGTATGGTATGTATGGTATGTATGGTATGTATGGTATGTATGGTATGTATGGTATGTATGGTATGTATGGTATGTATGGTATGTATGGTATGTATGGTATGTATGGTATGTAAGGTATGTATGGTATGTATGGTATGTATGGTATGTATGGTATGTATGGTATGTATGGTATGTATGGTATGTATGGTATGTATGGTATGTATGGTATGGATGGTATGGATGGTATGGATGGTATGGATGGTATGGATGGTATGGATGGTATGGATGGTATGTATGGTATGTATGGTATGTATGGTATGTATGGTATGTATGGTATGTATGGTATGTATGGTATGTATGGTATGTATGGTATGTATGGTATGTATGGTATGTATGGTATGTATGGTATGTATGGTATGTATGTATGGTATGGATGTATGGTATGTATGTATGGTATGTATGGTATGTATGGTATGTATGGTATGTATGGTATGTATGGTATGTATGGTATGTATGGTATGTATGGTATGTATGGTATGTATGGTATGTATGGTATGTATGGTATGTATGGTATGTATGGTACGTATGGTATGTATGGTACGTATGGTACGTATGATATGTATGGTATGTATGGTATGTATGGTATGTATGGTATGTATGGTATGTATGGTATGTAAAGTATGGTATGTATGGTATGTGTGGTATGTGTGGTATGTGTGGTATGTGTGGTATGTGTGGTATGTGTGGTATGTGTGGTATGTGTGGTATGTGTGGTATGTGTGGTATGCGTGGTATGTGTGGTATGTGTGGTATGTGTGGTATGTGTGGTATGTGTGGTATGTGTGGTATGTGTGGTATGTGTGGTATGTGTGGTATGTGTGGTATGTGTGGTATGTGTGGTATGTGTGGTATGTGTGGTATGTGTGGTATGTGTGGTATGTGTGGTATGTATGGTATGTATGGTATGTATGGTATGGTATGGTATGGTATGGTATGGTATGGTATGGTATGTATGTATGTATTTACATACAATGTAACATATATATATAACTTGTGAACGATCTCATTTCACCAACATGCCTATCCATGGGTCTGTCCAGAGGCCTTCAGCTCAGTTTTGCCAACCGGCGAACCTCCGCAGAAAACACAGGCTCAGGGCAGCCCATAGGTGCAGCGGAGGGTGGGATACGTGTTTTCCCGGTGGAGCCATAGGTTTGTGCTACAGTTTTTGGAGGCCGTGGCCGGCCATACAACAGACGCTGGGGTGACAGCGCTTTCAGTGGTGCATACAAAAAGCTGTGAGGTCGCAGCAGCGTTGTGGTGTGGCAGGGAACCTTTCCTTGGGGTTTTGGTTGAGTTGCTACCGCATTTACATTGGTAGCGGAGCTCCCGACAGCCGTCGGGAGTATCCAGGAAGCTACCTTGGTGCAAAGCTGACAGTTTAGCTTGCTGCCAGGATCAGCAGGTGAGACCGATACCATGCCGCCAGGCAGTGATGGAGCCTCAGGCACTGAAGCATCCGAGACGGTGGGAGGAACCATATCCACCCAACTGGCATACTTGGTACCTAGCTTTGATCCAAGTAAAGACGATTTGCAACTGTACCAGCAGAAGGTCCAACTCGTGCTTGCAGTTTGGCCGCCATCGAAGCTTTCAGAGTTGATCACACGACTGATCCTGAATACAACAGGAACCGCATTCTCCAAGTTGCAACTGCATCATGCAGAGTTGTGTGTCAACGAGGAGAAGGGAGTTAGAAGGTTGATCGAGCTTCTTGGTGGTCACTGGGGAAAGACTGGGTTGGAACGTAGATATGCTGATGCAGAGAAGGCCTTGTATCAGTGTTCTCAGCTTGGGGACGAAAGCCATGATAGCTATTTAGCTCGTGCTGATGTTCTCTGGACGCGCCTCTTGGCACAGAAGCTGACTTTCGAAGATCTTCAGGCGTATGTGACCCTTAGGGGAGCTCAGCTGTCAAGTGAAGACAAAAAACGGGTCATCATTGATAGCGACAACTCACTGGAAGGGAAATTGACCATGGTCAAGGTGACGGAGTCCATTCGAATGTTAGGCACATCCTTCTTTCAGGAGATGACAGGTGCCAACAAGAAAGGGGTCAAGGCGAAGGTGTACGACCAGACCCTCCTTGTTGCAGAGGATGTGGAACAGTCAGGTGACCACGAAGATTCCGCACATGTCACAGGTCATGAAGATGTCGCTGAAGAGGACTATATCGAAAGTTTGGCCCAGGAGGGCGACGAGGACGCAGTGTTCGTGGCAGATTTTGAGACTGCTGCCACAGAAGTTGTACAGTCGGATGAAGATCTGGCAGCAGCGTTTTCGACTTACATGGAAGCACGTCGGAAGCTGAGTGAGAAGTATCGAGCCAGGGGATTCTGGCCAATCTCCAACAAGGGGAAATCCAAGGGCTTCAAGGGCAAGTCCAAAGGGAAAAATCCTTGGACCAGCCGGAAAACTCTGCAGCAGCGCATCTTAGAGAGCAACTGTAGGATTTGTGGCCGAAAAGGCCATTGGAAGAGCGAGTGTCCGAATCGTGGCCAGTCTATGTCAAGCACATCAGCCTCGACGGTCCCTGTAACTCTCTCAATGGGTGTCGCATCTTCTGCTGCCAGTGATGTTATGACTGCGGAGTTCATGAACCTTCCTGAAGTCCATCCGCCTGCACAGGACAACATCCGAACACATGCATTGAGTTTTGTACAGTCAGTTGTGTTCAATGTCACAGGTGAAAGTCCAAGCCAGGGAAATCCTATAAACATGAGGGATGTAAGGGAACGAATTAGGAGCCGGATTAAGGGTAATCAAGGTAATAATTCCAGAGTTGCATCCCTGGTGAGCAGGATTGAGAGTCGCCTTGCCTCAGCACCTGATCGGTCTGCAGTGAACCAAAATGCATCCGTGTACAGTATGCCGGGTCCGCAGACCAAGTGTTCGAAGTTGCCTCAAAGCCCGTTTGTCAGCCAGTCCATTTTGGACAAAAACCATGCACCGAAGGTATCTGAGCCGAAGAGCCCAATGCCTGATGCCTCGCATGACACCTCCGAGGTACTTTTTGCCACCCACGACACTTGGGGTATCCTTGACACTGGTGCCATAAAGACTGTGATGGGTAGTGATTTCGTACCAGGTTTTTTACGAAACGTTCCGGTCGACATCCGAAAACAGATTCGCAGGTGTTCCTGTGATGTGACTTTTCGGTTTGGAAATCAAGGTACTCTTAAATCTGAACATGCTATGGTGGTGCCAGTGTGTGGTTTCGATCTCAAGATCGCAATAGTTCCAGGAGCCACACCTTTTCTGGTGTCGAATACGCTTTTGAGAGCCTTGGAAGCCATGGTAGATACAAGTGCCAATCAGTTGATCCTTCCAAAACATGGTCAACACATACCACTGAAGTTGTCAAGCAAAGGGTTGTATCTAGTCGACATGAACTTGTTGTTTGAAGTGTCTTCTCTGAAGAAAGGCTCCAATCAGACAGCCGAGACTTTTGCCCAGGAATCCACTGAAAACGTGAGCCAGTCAGCGTCAGTTGCAGGTTCCGAGATGTTCACAAACACATGTTCCAAGGCAGGTCAGGCAGTCAAGTTTTCACCGTCTCCATCAACAGGATCCAATACCAAACATGAACATGAGAAGAGTTTTCCAGAATCACAGCCAGTTCTCCATGAAACACCTCAATGTGAAATGACAAAACAAATGGAATCCCCAAAGGGCATGTCAAGGATCCATAGATCACCGGAAAGATCAGAAACCGAGACCGTAAGCCCTGAATCTCAAACGTCAGCCCACCGTGAAGCATCAGCCAGATCGCTACTGAACCATGAGCGACTGGACAAAACGTCTCCAGCGTGTGCAAGCGGAGATGCCACGTCCGGAGACCGAGGACATCGACCACATGACTCTCGAGATGCTTCTGACAGAGAGGGTGCGATTCGGAAAGGCCCATCAGGGGAAATCATATGCAGAAGTCTGGGAATCGGCACCGGACTGGATTCGCTGGTTCTTGGGGCACTATCAGGAAAGCAGGGATGTGGAACACAAGAAGATGATTCGATTCATCAAGCTCAGGATCGAGGAGACCGAGGCCAGCGGGGGAGAAGTTCCACAACCAGCCACAGTGAAGGCCAAAGTCAAGGCCGCTCCGAAGATCTTGGCAGCTTCCGCAAAGAGCCGCTCAGCGCCTCACCCAGATGCATGCCCCGAAGAGCCAGTCAATGCCGAGATGAGCAGCCTGCAAGCTCGAATGACCAGCCTCGAGCATGCGCTGCATCAGATCCTGGTCCATCTGACGCCCAATGTGCCAGCAGATCCAGTGCCGTCGACCATGGACGACGACCTCCCGGTGCTCCCTCTGGCATCCGAATGGGAGGATCCCTGGACAGCATGAGATTCAGTGAAGATGACCGCAACTGGGCGCTCATGGCCGGGGAGATAGATAAGTTTGTAGAAAGCCAGAGTAATCAGGAACGTAGGTACTTCCAAAGCCTGGTGTCCATGATGGAAAAGGAACTTCATGCCATAGAAACCAACACCAAGATCATAGGACCACCAGTTGATGTCGTGGAAGTTTTTTGCAGTCCAGAAAGCACTCTGACTGATCAGGTAAACCACCTTGGAGGCAAAGCCATCCGTTTCGGCCTGAACCAAGGCAATCTGCAGAATGCTGAGGGTAGGAGCAAGCTGTTCGGAATCATCTGTCGCCACCGGCCGAAGCATGTCTGGGTCAGTCCAACTTGCAAACCGTGATCCAAATGGTCGTTTTTGAATAGCCAGAAATCACTAGAGCTGTGGGACAAAATCCAATCTGAAAGAAAGGACATGCTCAGCCAAGTAGCCCTATGCTTGGTGATTTTCCGACACCAGCATCGATGCAGACGCCATGCACACTGGGAACAACCGAAGGGGTCCCTCATGTTTCTGTTGCCGTATCTAAATGAGTTAGATAGATACACTCTTAGTGCCAAACCTGACATGTGCATTGCAGGTGGACTCCAAGATCCACTCAATAGAAAGCCCATGAAAAAAGGAATGCACATACGTACCACGTCCAGACAATTGCAACAGCTTCTTGACCCACTGAGATGCCCAGGAATGCATGATCATCAGGCCATCGAAGGTTCAACCAGAGTGCATGGCCATGGAATTGCGAGATCCGAATTTTCTGAAAGGTATCCACGGAAGTTTGCACGCCTGGTTGCAAAGTGCCTGGTGAAACGAAGTTTTCCCCAAGAAGTACCAGTAGGTGACATAGCCGATCAGGCTTTGGTAGCTCTGGATCAATGGTTTCAAATCAGCAGTGCATTCGCCGTGGAGTCCCGTTTGACCAAGAAAGCCCGGCTGTCTCAACCACGACAGCACAAATCTCTGCCAGCAGACAGGTCACTCGATGATCAACCCAGTGAGAAGCGTAGGAGACTCAAGAAGATAAGCCAATCCCCGAACAATCCAAATGACCTTAATGAACCCGGGGATGAAACCCGGAGGGGACTGCTTGAAATTCTCAGTATCATCGAACCCATGCTGCCTAGGGTAGGGAAAAGAACCATCGAACAACCACAAGTGATTCAAAGGATTCAAGAAATGTTCCCTGAAAAGGTCATCAAAGGAGTGATAGCTTGCAAAGGGACCGAACGCACTATGGCCCCTCCAAAAGAAATAAGCTCAAAAGAAGCTCCTTTCCGAAGATCAATCATGAAACTGAGAAGCACTGGAAAAATCATCACTGATGAATGGGAACAGTATGATGTACTTTCCAAAAGGAAGATCATCCGCAAATCGTATCCATGTCGAGTGAATATAACTGTCTTCGCGGCCAATCCTGTAGCAGTAGCACCAAGCCCGGTCAGCAGTCAGCCAGACCCATCAACCGCCAGAGCAGGAGGTGATTCACCGCCCCGGATGGAAAGTCCACCAAGTTCCCAAGATCGAATGACAGAGATTTCGGAGCCACCAAACATCCTTGAACCCAGAAAACCAGAAGATGTTCAAGGGGAGAAGCAAGTCCCAAACAGAGACACCGAAATCTCGTCGTCCGGATCTCAAATCCAAATGGACTTAGGTGAATCGAAGGGCAAGCTCAACAGGTTTTTGTCCTTGCCTCGCGAAGAGCAGGCGATGCTACGTCGTGCACACCAAAATCTGTGCCACCCGAGCCCTGAACAACTGAGCATGGTTTTGCGGAACCAAGGAGTCAGGCCCGAAGTCTCCCAAGCAGTGTTTGACATGAAATGTGAAAATTGTGCTTCGCATCAACAGCCGAAGATTGCCCGACCAAGCACTCTAAAACATGAACTTGATTTCAATGATAAGGTGTTTATTGATGGGATAACATGGACCAGTAAAGCCGGTAAAACTTTCCATTTTTATCACATCTTGGATCAAGCGACAAATTTCCATGTAGCAACACCTGCTCCAAATCGTGCCGCAGAGCAAGCCGCTCAATGTGTGTCAGAAAGTTGGTTTCAATGGGCCGGACCACCAAATGTGCTTGTCACGGACTCAGGTACCGAATTCACAAGTGAATATTTCACTGAATTCCTACAGCGTTTTGACGTGAAGTCAGTGACAGCCGCTCCCCATGCGCATTGGCAGAATGGACGCAGCGAAAGACATGGACATATCTTGCAAACAATGCTCAATAAGATAGATCATGACATGCCAATCCAAACATATGTGGACTTGCAGCAAGCCCTTGTTCAATGCACGCATGCCAAAAACAAGCTCAGTGTTCGCAAAGGTTTTTCACCAGAAGTCCTTGTGTTTGGTAAGAACTCCAAGGTCCCAGGTTCAATCACCAGTTGTGAAACCGTGTCATCGCTGGCCAGTGCCGACCGTGAGGATGCTCATGGAATTGCTTTCAAAAGAAGTCTGGCGCTCCGTGAAAGAGCGCGTGTGGCATTTCATGAGGCCGATAATGACCAGGCCCTCCGGAGAGCTTGCTTGCGCCGGTCCAGACCGGACAGAAATGCGTATGACCCTGGGGAGTGGGTAATGTTATGGCAACCAGAACCCACTGGAGGACATTGGTTCGGCCCCCTCAAGGTTGTTGCTCAAGAAGGAAGTAACTCAATCTGGGCCACCCAAGGGGGAAAGTTGTATCGCAGAGCACTTGAACACGTCCGACCAGTATGTTCTGATGAAGCACAGAAAATTCCACTTGAAGACATCATCAATAATCCAAACACCGTTCAGACCTCAAACATGCCTGAGATTATTCCCAATGAAAATATCCCTCCAAGTAATCCACCAGTAAATTCCCCCGATAACAGTGAGCATCAGTCCAACCCAGATGATCAAAGCCAATCACAAGATCAACCTGACATTGAACCTGAAACGGGAAATCAGTCTCATGAACCAAATGATCCTGCCATTGAGACACCAGTCCCAGAGGATACCAGTGACGATGACCTTGTCACAACACATCTCCTGTGCTGTGAAGATGAAGTCATGCCAATCGACCCGAATGCGATCCCTTGTGCTTGGAGATGTGAACTCGAAATGCCCAGCTGGATTGATTCCGAAAAATGTTTAACTTGGTCCCCTGATGATCTCTTGATAGCGACAACAGATAAGAAACAGAGAACCGAAGTGAAGCTATCCATGTTGACCAGTGAGGAACAAAAAGCGTTTGCACAAGCCAAGGAATCAGAAGTTCAAAATTGGCTGAAGACTGGAACAGTCTCCAGGATCTTGCGGACAAAGCTCGCACCAGAGCAAATTCTACGATGCCGTTGGATTCTCACTTGGAAACCAAGGGATGAACCAAGTAGCGATCATGCAACCAAAAGTAGCAAGCTTCAATCTCATAAACCCAAAGCACGTTTGGTTGTATTAGGCTATATGGATCCCCAGTTAACAGAAGTCCCCAGAGACAGCCCCACTCTTGGTAAACAATCGAAGATGATACTCCTTCAATTGATTGCATCAATGGGTTGGTCCCTAGGTTCTTTCGATATCAAAGCAGCCTTTCTCCAGGGAATGCCCCAAAAGGATCGTATCATAGGACTTGACCCGGTTGTGGAGTTGGCCAAGGCAATGAGTTTGAAGACAGGCGAGATTTGTAAGCTTGACAAATCTGCGTACGGGCTCATCGATGCGCCGTACTTATGGTTCCAGACACTGCAAGAAGAACTCATAAACCTTGGTTTTAAGCCGTGCCCGTTCGATCCATGTGTGTTTGTCCTGAGGAACCCCAAAGATCAAACACTATCAGGTGTACTCGGAATTCATGTGGATGACGGAATCTACGGGGGTGACAAGTTTTTCCAAGAGCAAGTTTCCAAATTGGAATCCAAATACCCATTCGGATCCAAGAAATCACGGGTGTTCACTTTCACAGGAATTGACCTCAAACAGAATCCAGATAACAGCATAGAATTGTCACAATCCCAATATGTCAAAAACATCAATCCCATTTGCATTAAGCCAGAACGCAGAGCACAAGAAAATGAACCTGTGACCGAAGAAGAACGGCACCTATTGCGCGGCCTCATTGGCTCGTTGCAATATGCAGCAGTGCACACCAGACCCGATCTCACAAGCTCACTCAGCCAATTGCAATCCCAGATTAACACCGCGACAGTAACCACCCTTATAATGGCCAATAAAACCCTTCACACTGCAAAGAAACATAATGATGTGACCATCAAAATACATCCCATCAATACCCATGATTTAAGGTTCCTAGCTTTCTCTGATGCGTCATTTGCATCCAAGGTGAAACCAGAATCCTATGCGGGAATGATCATCATGGCAACCCACAAAGAGATTTCTCAAAATCAAACTTGCGTAATCAGTCCTTTGTCATGGGGAACTAAGAAAATCCAACGAGTAGTGACAAGCACATTGTCAGCAGAGGCAACCGCCCTCTCATCTACGCTGGATCAGCTCACATGGATCCGTGTCTATTGGGCCTGGCTTATCGATCCTAAGATCGCATGGCAGAAGCCGGAGACCGTCAAGACACTTCCAGAAGCTTTGACCGTTCCGACGCTGAAAGCCGAGGACAAGGACCTTGCAATAACTGACTGCAAAAGCTTGTATGATTTAACAACCAGAACTGCAGTGCCATCATGTCAAGAATTTCGAACTCAATTGGTAGCTCGTTCCATTAAGGATATACTCTCTGAAAACATACGTTTACACTGGGTACATTCGGGAGCTCAGCTTGCAGATGCATTGACGAAGATCATGGAGGGACAATTTCTCAGAGAAACACTTCGCCAGGGCCATTACTGTTTGCACGATGCTGATGAAGTTTTGAAAAATCGAGCAAATGCTCGAAACAGACTAAAGTGGCTTCGATCAGCCGCCTGTGAAATGAGCTCGAATCAATTAAAATATTGAATAAATGGGAATGTGAACGATCTCATTTCACCAACATGCCTATCCATGGGTCTGTCCAGAGGCCTTCAGATCAGTTTTGCCAACCGGCGAACCTCCGCAGAAAACACAGGCTCAGGGCAGCCCATAGGTGCAGCGGAGGGTGGGATACGTGTTTTCCCGGTGGAGCCATAGGTTTGTGCTACAGTTTTTGGAGGCCGTGGCAGGCCAAAAACAACAGACGCTGGGGTGACAGCGCTTTCAGTGGTGCATACAAAAAGCTGTGAGGTCGCAGCAGCGTTGTGGTGTGGCAGGGAACCTTTCCTTGTGTTTTGGTTGAGTTGCTACCGCATTTACAATATATATATATATAATTATATATATACACACACATGTGTGTGTGTGCGTGTGCGTGTGTGTGTATAGTATGTACGTACAATGTACAATCTATATGGGCGCCACAAACCACATTGGCTAACATAAGGACATTTCGGCAGAGCGCAGGGTGCATTTGCAACTTCACAAAGTGAACATAACAACTCCCGCAGCTTTAGGTCAAGGATGTCAAGGATGTCATGAATGTATTGCCGATCTGATTAATTTAACAATCTGTCTCAGTTGTGAACCTTGACCTCCCGTGGGTCACCTTGACTCAAAAACTGTTCAACCAAGGATGAGCGTGAGGCTGGAAAACAAAATTCAAAAAAAACTGGGAATTGCGATTTCAGTCATGTGAACAAGATGCAGAATCAGACTAAGAAAGATTGAAATCGAATCTGATTCCTTTCAGACCGGACCATTCAGGGTTGCCCCATAGAAGAGATTAAGGCTGCATTTTTATCTGAATTCCAGCCTTGTTTGTTCCACCAGTGTCAATAGGGGCTCTACCATCTAGTAGCTCTTCACGGGAATCCCTCTCGCATTCTGCCACAAGGTCAAGGTCGGTTTGGGGAACTGTTCACCACAATTTGCCTCAATCAAATTGCTGTACTTCACAAACCCCAAACAAGCCATTCTTGGGAAGGCTAACCCCCCCAAGTGTCATTCATGGCAAAGTCGGCCAGTGAAGTCTCCCAAAAATTCCCCAAAAATGAGGTATCCCTGACATCTGATGCTTTAGCATTTCCTACCCTCTGGTAAACGTTTACATAGCTATGGAAAGATCCACTATTTTCAATGGATAAATCCACTATTTCTATGGCCATGTTCAATAGCAAACTGTTAGTTATTACCAGGCCGGGTAACAATTTAGTGATTAACCATTATTAACCATTATTGTTAACCATTATTAGCCATTATTGTAATATAGCTATGTTCAATAGCTCTGTTAATCACTATAGTCAGAGGGTAAATCACCATTAGCTATGTTAAATTGCCAGAGGGTAAATCCCCATTAATCAGTATGAATCACCATTAATCACTATTAACCAGTGTGTTAACCATTAATGTGTCCCTGAAACAGCAATCCCACCATCACTCGTCCTGAGCTGGAAAGCCCGCGGCTCCATCAGCGTGCGAGGTTTGGAGGCAAAGGATGACTACCTGTCAGGGCCGGGCTTCAACCCGCAAGATACTTAGCTGACTACCTGGTTCGTGGTGCAATGTGCCCATCTTGAAAAATGATGGAGTGAAAGTCAATGGGTTTCGGATGACATCCCATATATGAAATGGAAAATAAAACATGTTTGAAACCACCAACCAGCTACATGTTTAGTTGTAGTTGACGATCTATATTTTTTTCTCTACCTTTGTTGCAGTTAGTCTCGCGCATCCAACATAGATATAGGGTGATATGGCTAGGATAGCATAGTCTTAGTTGGTAACATATTATGGATGGTCTACAGACATGATATCCACCGAAAACCTCAGTTAAATAATGTTAAATATTAGTAACTACTATAGACGTGATATGATGTGCCAAAGTTTTTATATGATGTCTTAGCTGGTCCATAATTTCATCCCCCCAATATTAAAAAAAAAACGCCACAAGCGTGGTTTTGTAGGGGATTAGAAAGCACATTTGGGACCATACAATTGGAGTGTTTAATATTAGGTGAATGTGATTATATGATACCTACCAAAAGTTTCAGTTTGTTTCTGTTAACTTAGCATAACTTATAACAATTTAGCTAAGTACGGGGCACCACGTTGTAGGGGGCATATTCTGGGGCACGTAAACCCTTGATTCATCAACCTTCGGATTCCGCTTAGGCGTAGACAATATTGATGAACCCCCTACGGTTGAGGGGAGGAAGTGCCAATTTAAACCAGCCAACTCATCCCAAAGGGAAAAAACTCGAGTTTGCTTCAGAACCACCCTTTTGCATCATCAATTCTGAACTTCCCCCCTGGAAGTGGGCAACGGTGAAGAAATCGGTTTCAAGGATTTCGGCCTGCATCACATCCAGGGCAGGCAAATCTGCTTCTGGTTCCCAGCTGAAGGAACACCTGAAACTTCGATGCGAGCAGTAGCCACTACACCCCCAGGTTTGCCTCTGAAGAATGGAGGTGGTACCATCACAAGTTAGGAGTTAACCACCAACATGATGACTTTGCCATAAAAACTGAGGTAAAATTGAATTGAAGGTCAAAACTGAGGGGATTTGCACCCCTCGGTAAAATATGGAAATCTATCACGGGATCGAATCACTCTACTTACTTTGGTTGGGATGGAAATGGAAAATGTCAAACCACCAACCAGCGTATCAAGTGGTGCCCCTTGCTTTGCTACGTTGTTTTTTATTTGTCTGTGAATGGCTGATGGTGGATATAGGGATAACTTGGATGAGTACTGTCATGTTCTATGACGACTTGGCGGTCTACCCGGACAAACCCTGGAACTCCAAGGAGCTCCGACCCTGGTACGCTCCAACCCTGGTAAACTCCAACCGTCCAAAAGGTCTTAAAATTTACACCATACCGAAAACAACCTTACGGGCTGAAAACTTAGATGCAGAAGCCTTAGTAACTTATAGATTTGTGAGGCATACACTTTGATGTATAGCCAGTAATTCTTTGCACATTCCGGGGGTCCAAATTCGACCGCCGAAGACAGTCCCCACCAGGACGTACGTAGTGCTCGCAGGGCCGCTAACCTGCAGTGCATCAGAGCTGCAGATGATTTACCCAAGCATTTGATAGGCATTTGACCATCAAAAATATGGCCTTGTCTGGAAAGCCCCAAAATATATAACAATATATATATATATATAGGTTATATAAAATATATAATTTGTCAAAAATAATGTTATTCAGTAATATATAGTAATATTCAATAGGCAAAATGATGATAAACAATGATACAGAAGCGGATTTTTTGAGGTGTCCGATTTTCAGATGTCCCTATATGAGCTTGAGCCAATGGAGTTTGATGTCGCCAAGCTGGGGCTGACAAGTAACTTAACTTGGGCCAACTAGGGTTCATGGCAGATATACTTGTTTGTAAATAGTTTGATAGGTTATCATGGGTCTATAGCACAACTTATAGCTGGCCACATATTTCAGCTGGTTAATTTGGTCATGACTCAACAACCATGAGGGTGAACTGTGCCGACCACGGATCAGGCACCCAGCGCCCAGGGTGCCCCGGGTGCCCCGGCTGCGTGCGTCGATCCACGTGTTTGGCCGCAGAAATGAGGTACTGTAGCAGCCGCTTCGCCGAAGACGGCCTTGACGGCCGAACATAGTGGGTGATGCGGGGCCAGATGGAGGAAGTGAACTGAACTCACTTAAAGAACTGGGGTAAATCTAGTAAATGTGGTTAAAACAATCAGAAACCATCCCCAACATCACCATAGATGGGTTGTATAAACTATCAAAAATGCGGTGGTGTACTATTGTATTAACCACATAAAAGCGTATAGCCGACTAGTCGAAGCCGGTAAACCAAAATGCTTATTGCCCACTTACCAAGTGGGATTCACATCCAAGACATATTCCAAGTAGTGTACTGCAACCACCAACAACCGAAAAAATGTAGTGAATCTTCATCATCTGGAATGGGAGGGTCACCTTTGGCAGGTTGCCTGAATCCTGATTTTTGATGAATTCTGTATCTTAGAATTTCCTTCGTAGGAAATGCTGTGAATTCAATGTTCCTGTGGCTGCAGATGTTTGAGGGATATTTTGCCAATGTTGGGGAAGATTGGGCTGGTAAACACAAAAAAAACATGGTTTTCGATGGTTTTTTTCGGGATTTTTCAGATCCATACTGGGACTGGGATGGTCCCTGAGGATCCATGACCACGAAGAACGCGTCCTCCATCCCCAAGTGTAACATACCCTCTGGTAATTTAACGTAACTATGGAAAATCACCATAGAAATAGTGAAATTTCCCATGAAAAATGGTGGATCTTTCCATAGTTATGTTAGTCATTACCAGGCCGGGTAGACCAAAAATGACCCAAAGAAGTGCCAAAGTTTAGACCAAAGTAGTCCTCCAACCCCCAATGGCCCAACTCAAGGCAGGGTCTATGTTGCTTGGGGATGTTTTTTTAGTTCATTCATTGGATAAATCCACCATTTTTAACGGTTGGTTGAATCACCATGTTCCCAAAAATGTCTGATGGCAATGTCATCACTTTTTATGGTTTCATTAAAAGAAATCAATCCCAACAACAAAGAAACACATAAATTCACGCAATCCCAACATCAATTTTTGGGGCTTCTTATGAGGCTTCAAAAATGGGAGTAGTATGGAAATAAGGGTCCCATCATCAGGAGTCTGAGGTTGACACTTTGCTTGAAGGGCCACCAAGAGCTCTGCGAAGAACTGTGCTGCAGTATAGCCTGGAGACACCCCTTTCGTGACCTTATGGAACCTTGGATTTTTCACGATCCCCATTAGACCAGATAGTAGAATTCCCGATGTCATTAGCCCAGCTTTGCAACCCAACAGCGAAAGGTTCCAGCAAGGTTCCAGGACTGTTCCAGTTTTTCGGGGCGTGCATGGCTACGTGTCACCAGTCCGACCAGTCCCCGGCACCAGAGATTGAAACCCAACAGATTCGCTGTTGGGAATAACCGCTCAACAATCAGGGTAAATTAGAATAATTCACTAACCTGAAATAAGGCCATTTTGGGATCATTCCCCTTACTAACTATGATTTCCAGGGTTCGGTCGCAGTGAGGTCGTGATCAAATTTACCCAGAACAATGGTATCTTGAATCTCAATGGTTAGACCCAACTTTTGACCATGGCTCAAAGGCTCAATGATTTGTCAATGGGGCTGCAATTGCAGCCCACCATGGGACACAAAAATATCCAGCATGGGACAATCCTAGTCGTAGCTACCCTCTGCTAATGACTAACATAGCTAAATGGCCATAGAAATAGTGGATTTTCCCATTAAAAATGGTGATTTTCCATAGTTATGTAAACGTTTACCAGAGGGTAACCCATTCAAAGGTGATAGAAATAAATCCCCACTCCGGCCCATTCCATACCTATCTAGAAAGACCTACCATGAATCCATTTTGAGCAGCGGCTACGACCTACCCCTGTTTCTAGACATAATGTCTTCGGAGGCTATACTACCTGAGATTTTGGGGGGATTGTCAGATTATGCTATTCTTAGACGAACAACATAAATCCATACCTATATACATATATACATATAGGCTTTATAGCTGGTTTATATGGAATTGTATACCCAACTAAATGGTAGATTTGTAGATATACCTACCGTAAGCCGTAAGTCCCAAAACAATAATCCTTCACATTGGAGCTATGTCTACCAACTTAACTAACGAACTGGGGGCACCACCTTAAAACCATAAATCAAAAATATATCCAGCATTATCCATCTATAAATCTACCAACGCACTTAGATACCCGACTAAATCTATTTATAAAAGGTAGGTTCATAGTTGGTGATAATGGGGCTTTCCATACATGCTGGTACCCCAAAAATCGATGGTTTAAACTGAAAAATCCTACTATCAATGGATGAGAACTGGGGAATTCGATGGAATTCCGGGGTACCATGAACGTAGCTATTGAAAATGGGCATAGAAATCCAGTCTAGTGGATTCACCCAGCTGAGCTCAGCATGGTGGATCTTTCCAGTTCGTTATTTTTGTATGGTAAACGTTTACATAACTATGAACAATCACCATTTTTACCTGGTAAATCAACCATAAATGGCCATGTTCAATAGTTTTTTGTATGTGTCCATAGAAAATGGCCCAGTCGATTTCTAGTGGATTTACATGGATTTACCCAGCTACAAAATGGTGGTTTTTCCAGTTCCTTATGTGGCAGTGGGTCAAAACCTTGTACCCCTGTAGTTCACATCAAAATAGCTGGGATTTACGGATGTTCATCCCTCTAAAAATGGTATTAATAGGTATTGATCCATAGCCATGTGTCCATAGAAAATGGCCCAGTCGAAATAGTGGATTTACATGGATTTACCATGATTTACCCATTAAAAATTGTGTTTTTTTCCAGTTCCTTATGTTAGTTTAAATTACCAGAGGCTACCCTTCACCAACCAACCACAGTCGGACAGGCCACGAAGCGCCGGGCTCAGGGGATCCCCCATGGACTCCAGCAGCGCGTCGCGTAAGCTGCTGAGACTCGCTGTGGCTGGGCGGTGCGCCATCCAGGCCACAAGCCTTGGCGGATGGGGATGGTCCAAGGGGAAAAACCATGGGAAAACATGGAAAAATCATGGGAAAACATGGAAAACTGATGATCTCAGAAGAATTGATGAGGAAAATTGGGGGGTTTTGCATTGGGGGAATATATATATATATATAGAAAATGGCTGACCAAGAAAAATCGGTGAAAATGATCATGGATAATACCCATAATCCAGAAGACATGGGATTTGACCAAGCAAATTTGGGATCATCTGTGATAATCTTGCTAAAACCATGATTCTTACCAATCAAAAAAATGAATATCATATATGATAATCTCTATCACTGATAAATATGAACCATTTGCAGACTAGCAAACATGAGATTTTACAAAGAAAATATCTGGATGTTTACTCCCTATGATGATGTAGATTCAAACAGCACGATTAAATCAGCCTATCATCTGCCCAAATAGGTTTACTTATGGTTACAATAAAATGAGTTAAACTGATAAAATTCACTGATCCCCCGTTGTGGCCCTTAAAGGCTTCGCGTCTCTCAGTCCCCCTGCTGTTTCAGGAGGCTCTTAAAGAGCTCGGCCAGGGTGGCATCCTGAGGATAAAATAACATAGCATAGCATAATACAATACGATACAATATAATGTAATGTAATGTAATATAATCTAATATATGATCTTATAATATAATTGAATACCATACAATGTAATGGAATGTAACATAACAAAAACATAACATAATATAGTATGGTATGGTATGGTATGGTATGGTGTCGTATAGTATAGTATAAGATGATATGATATGATACAATATTATATCACATAACATCTTTAAAAAGAAATAATAAAACAATATATAACACGATGATTTATAATATGATATAGTATAGTATACTTATGACATGTATACAATACTATATCATATTATAAGTTGTCTATCATTTATCATGTTATAAGTATATTTGGGTTTTCGATACTATATTATAAGTAATAGTAGCAACAGTGTCTACAGTGACAATATCATCAGGGTTTTTGTCGACCCGCTACTGGGGATCAGCGCCTCATCTGAGGCTGCTCGGAGGGCCAGGGGCAACAAGGGAGCACGTAAAACCTGGGCCGTTGCCATGAGGACAGACATGAGCTCGTTCTCACCACAATTCAGGACATGTAAATTTATCAAGATACAAAATGAGGATGTATCATGCGGAAATGATGTTTGTCCAGCTTCTTTAAGGTCTTTTGTCCCACACTTTGTTGCAACCATTTTCTTGAAAAGGCTGCTGCACCAGCATAGCTTGCCAATCGTCGATTACGTCAACTGAGGCAGTACTGCCAGTACTGCAGTATATAAATGCACCTTTCCAAGCTGGAGTGGATGTTCTATGCCGCATTTTCAACACGACACACCTGAAATCTAGGGATCCAGAAAAAGTACCACCTCGACTAATCCCTCGTCTCCCAAAGCTGTTGTTTGGATCGCCCCTCAAGAGATGACTCAGATGATTCCTCCCCGAATGGTACCCTCTGGTTATGTCAAAATAGCTATTGAAAATGGCCATAGAAATAGTGGATTTTCCCATTAAAAATGGTGATTTTCCATAGCTATGTAAACGTTTACCAGAGGGTAACTGGGAAAGTTACCTCAGCGAAGGCGGTTGAGGCCTGGCATCTTCGTTTAAGCCATGGAACAGCTGGAAGGTTGTCCATGTTGTCCCTTGAAAAACGGTAACGGGATTCCCCATTCATGGAGTGTGATATTCCAAATAGATTCGTTGTAGAAGCCTATAATCATCAACCGAAAAGGGTTTCGAATACTGCTCACATGACTTATTCCATGATCTTACAAATTAGGAAGTCTAGTCAATGGCCATTTCAGGGGCCTAAATTGCAGCTTTACATAGCTCTACCATATATAAGGCCTATGTAAGGGGTATGTAAGCGTATATACCAACAAAATATGGCCTTATATGGTACAGTACCTCCATTTTAGGGTCCTTAAATTCCCATTGATCTAACGTAAATATGTGAGTCTTATCAGACTTTCCAACTTACCCCATGATAGGTTAGATATCAAATAGTTTAGGATCTATCAGAAAATAGTCAGATGAAGATCATCGATCATCCCCAAAAAATATCATACATATATTAACATATATCATATATCATCATATATCCAGGTTCATCGGCAAACTTACCATACTTATTGGGTACATCCACCAACCCAATCTGTTGATATATATCTTCTTGGGGTCCTCCCCGTGTCATGGTAGATCATTCCGTGACAGTATGGGAAGTTTACCCGGCCTGGTAATGACTAACAGTTTGCGAACTTGAAAATGGCCCAGTCGAAATAGTGAGTTTTCCCATTAATAGCATGGTGATTTTCCATAGCTATGTAAACGTTTACCAGAGGGTATGATAAGTTTAAGTTTAATGGAAATCGGAGAACACCACTGAAGCTTCCTAAAAATATCAGGATTAATCCCATACCGTCCTTGCAGTCACAAAATATTTTGCATACGATCTGGAAAGTGGATTTCATTGGTGGCCCGGGGTCCTGCTGATCCCAAATCATTGTATAGCAATCAATCCAACTTTGATCAGTGTTGGTAGCAAGAACCAGCCAATGTGGTAAATGCAATGCTAAAAACAATGTTACCACATTATTGGATTTATATGGATTTATGATTTACCCCAATGTTACCACATTATTGGATTTATATGGATTTATATGGATTTATATGGATTTACCCCAATGTTACCACATGATTGTTGCCATTGGCACCTAGTGACCTAGTGCCAATGGGGATGGTAAAAATGGCATTGGATTTACCACGACTTCGTCGGTCCCAGTGTTTGTAGCCGCTACAACGCACCATTTCTCGGCGGTCTTTGTTGAAGCCCCCGGTGTGAAACATGGCCGCGCTGGCCAATCATCCAATGAACGGATCCATAGAAACAGTCAATCCGAAGCTGCACCCCCTTTTTTTATGCAACATAAAACTTAAAAGAGTTTTTAGGGGGAACCAATGGGAACCAATTGACTCAGCCTCTCATGTTATTCATGTTCAAAGATTCTAAGTTGGATTTATGTGCGATTTAGTCTCCATTTGTGGGCGAAAGCAATTACAATATCATTCGCCGCTGTCCTTGCCTTTGCAAGAGATGCTGCATCCTATGTGTGAAACATGTCGATGCAATCCACAGGCTTGCAGCAACAGGGCACATTTTTCTGCAGTTCATTGCTGGCTATGCTGTTTTCATTGCTGGCAAGCCCCTCTGGTTACAAAATTCACGGGATTGGTTTGAACATCTCCGAGGAAACCCTAAGCGAATTGTGCCAGCCAAATATTCTTCAGGTGTCCTCTTCTTTGTTCCGGGGAACCAATCTGGGCGTGGCTCAAAAATAATGTGGCTGAACTGTCCTTAAAAGGCCATCGCTATGGGCCCTTTAAAGCTACTCCATTCTTTTTCGCCATGCCCATGTCACACGTAGTCGTTCTGCACGCACTCCTCTTGGAGTGTTTTTTCCTGTCTCACCAGCACTTGATCGCTCCTTAGTAGAGAAAACCAGAGGTGGGCACCCCACTTACGCAAGTTGATTTAGTTTCGTCAATCCAACCCCGAAACTAAGCCATACCCTCTGGTAAATAAACATAGACCCTGAAATTCAATGAAATTCACCCATTTTTCATGGAAACCAATCTTCCAAATCCTATCTGGCAGGGTCCAAGTGTTAATTTACCAGGGGCTAAATTCAACAGCATGGTGGCAACATCTTGTGACATGTCGTAACCCAGCATAACCAGCTTCGCTTTCTCCCGTCCCGGGATGGTCGTTAAATATCACGATGATCATCCCCTGGTTGTATGCGGGGTAGTATATATAATGTATCTAACCCAGAAAACATGATCAACCAACTTAAAAATATCGAATTGTTGGTCCTTGGTTGTATTATATCTATATATATATGTATATATACGTATGTAGATATATATATATATATATTATGATATATTATGTATCTCTACTATATAGTCTACGTCTCTCTACATGTACATCTCGGATATATCATGATATATGCCCATTTCATCCCCACTCAACCAGCAATCAGCACCGGCCCCTTCTGGCGAAGCCAAGGGGACGTCTCCTCAGACAACTTGCCACAGCAGTTGTAGAGCCAGGACTCGGGACCCTCTTTTCGGATGGGTTTTTTCCGGCTGGGGAGCCATGAGCTGATGGGGAGTCCTACCAAAAACCATAGGAAAACCATAGGAAAATGGAGATTTACCCTGCAGATACAGTGATTTACCATAGGAAAATGGAGGTTTTAATGGGAAAACCATGGGAAAACCATAGGAAAATGGATGTACCCTCTGGTAATTTAACGTAGCTATGGAAAGATCCACCATTTTGTAGCTGGGAAAATCCGCTATTTCTATGGCCATTTTCAATAGCTATGTTAAATTACCAGAGGGTAGGAGTTAAACACGCTATGATAAATGGGGATCTCATGAGGAGTTTGTATGAGCTGATGCAGGCAACTAGAATCCAAATGAAAAGAATATTTGGGTACAAAGACTCTTCCTTCGTGGAAAGTATAGTCGTTTCATCAGCAATACATAAGAATGGCTGATACATGTAGAGGCATATCCTTTGTAATTAGTAACAAATAGGAAAGCATGATTTTAAAACAGTAAAATATGTTGAAACAAAAAAAGTTCTGTAGTTTTCCCAGTTTGTCCATGTAAGAATCGTGGTCATGTTACGTGTATTTACTGTATGAGAAAACAGCAAACAATTACATGGGAATCAAGAAACATGATCAGCAAACAAGCCACGGTCTTGAGGATTCACTCGCCAAAATAGAACTTTCTAACCATCAGCAATTGGGATTTCGCCTAGGAAGCATGGATATGGTTTTGTTTAAACATTGGGGATACCCGATCTTATGGCAATGTTAAGAGGGAAATGAAGTTCTAGACTTCAAAACCACTTGGATTTTAGGGCTACTCCGTTTTTGGGCCAGACATCCTAGGGTGGAAACATGGCCAACGTCTGAAAGAGCCTCGTTGAATGGGGAGGGCATATGGTCACTCTGTCGAGGCTGAGATATGTGTGGTACCCCAGGTATGCGTGATTTAACACTATTTAATGGCAGTTGTTTACAAAATTTAATGGGAACATTATGATCCACTGTGGGATGTTGGCGTTTTCCCAACATGTTCAATAAAACCCATTGACTACAAGTTGATGCAGCGATTGACTCAGGCTATGGGGTGCCTGCAGGGTAAACACTTCACAAAATGTAGAGAGACATTTTGTGACAAAAGCGCCCATCATGTCAGAGCAGCAATATGTCAGAGGTATACTTCTTCGAGAAGCACAGATATGATATTTCCAATATATTATTTAGCACCATGGAAATATATACGTATATATATATATATCTTCTGGTACTTTGCCAACATTTCCATTGGAAATATGGTCTTTAAATCACCCTTTGGTACTTTGCCAATATGACCAAAATTGGTGGCCTAAAACGGGGCGCGTCCAAGATTGGGGTACCAATGTCCAATGGCCAACAAATGGGTATCCCGGGCAAAACCCCAACAATGGCTATGAGTCAAAACCAGTTTCGGTACCCATTTCGGTACCCGATTTTTTTCACTGGTTTAATGGATGTCTATTCCCCCAAAATCTGGTCATAAATATAATAATTTCTGCTAAACGTTTGCATAATTATGGAAAATCACCATGCTATTAATGGGTAAATCCAGGATAAATCACCATTTTCAATAGCAAACTGTTTGTTTACCAGAGGGTAAATGGAAATTTCAGAGATTTTCACCCATCCCCATACTGAGGTGCCCCCCCGTCGCCCAGAAATGCTCGGCGCCTCTCCCTTTCTGCCCGAACCGTCTCTCCTCAGTTGAGCTCTCCAAGGGTCACAGCTGAAAAGTACTGGGGTTGTCTAAAAATATCTGGTTGGTGGTTTTAACCATCTTGAAAAATATTATATAGTCAATAGGAAGGATTATCCCATATATTATGGAAAATAAAACATGTTTGAAACAAACATAGCTATTGAAAATGGTGATTTATAGTGGATTTACCCATTAAAAATGGTGATTTTCCATAGTTATGTGGCTGTTTACCAGAGGGTACCCCAAATTTGATGCTTGGTCTTCATGTTCTCCAGAAAAAAAAAAAAAACAAATTTGAGGCACAGCCCCATTTTCAGCACGGACCTTCTTGTTTTCTATCGTTTTCTTGGTTTACATCCCGGGTCAATGAACACACAGTAGATACGCAAAATCAGTTTTAAAAAAAACATACATCACATCATACATCATACAACATACAGTAAAAAAAACACTGACATCATTATACATCACTGACATTGTCCTTGGGCTGGAGGGTCAATCTCCACTCTTGGTTACAACTTGCTTGATCATCCCGGCCTGTGATGATCCTCCAAGTATCTCCAAGTAGATCCATGGTAGATCCCCAAAGAAGCAATCAATCAAGCTTTTGGAAACTTATCCAAAATCCTATGTTTGTGGTACTTGAATGGTCTTTTCAATCACCCCCAGTTGTGGATTATGATTTTTTATGGATTTAACATATATATATATATCATAGTTGACATTGGATTCTGATCACTATGGATTTAACATGATTTAACAATAGCTATCATATAGTTGACATCATTTAACCCCCATTCGCTTTTTTCATCCCACGGACGCTTGACAGCGCCAAGCTTCAGAGCGGGTTCTTCATTTCGATGCGCCTCAAAGAGATCGAAGGGCATGAAGGGCGGGGTCAAAGTCCTGCGATCGCTGCTGAGGCGTTTTTAAAAAACGGTGTTTAAGGTGGAGAAGAAAAACCATATAAGAATAACTGACTATAACTATATATGGTTAGATTATGTTAGATTATGTTAGATTATGTTAGATTCCCATACACCCATACATATTGAAATTAATGTTACCCTCTGGTAAACTAACATAGCAATGGAAAGATCCACCAATTTGTAGCTGGGAAAATCCAATGAAAATCCACGATTTCTATGGCCATTTTCAATAGCTATGTTAGTTCACCAGAGGGTATTATAAGAATAACTGACTATAACTACAGTATATATGGTTAGGTTAGAATATTATAAGAATAACTGACTATAACATACTATAACTATATATGGTTAGATGATGTTAGATTCCCATAAACCCAACAATTAACCAAGTGCTACCAAGTGATACCAAGTGAATTGTTTGCGTCAACTTAGCTATCGTAAACGCTGGTTTCATCTTGTGGGTCTGATTAGTTCTGATGTCGTCCTGCAGCGTGGGACTCAAGATGACTTAACGTCCGGTAAACTAACAGTTTGCTATTGAACATGGCCCATTTATAGTTGATTTACCATTTGGTTATTTAACATAGCCATGGAAAATGGTTCATTTATAGATGATGTTCCCATTAAAACCTCCATTTATGAGGGATTTTCCATGGCTATGTTAAATAACCAGATGGTACCTATTAAAAGTGGCGATGTTCAATGGTTATGTTGGTTTACCAGAGGGTAAGCATCAAATAACCCATCAAGTTCATCAAGGAGATATCCCATGGGGTCTGAGGCTACCCGATGTTCAGACACACCCGGTTTAACTGGCAATAACCCAGATTTGTATCCAACACATGTGAGAAATGTAGCCAAGAGACGACAACTCCAACTTTTTATATAATTAGTACACAAAAGGGATGTCTAGCCGAAAACATGGTGGTTGTCACCGAAATTGAAAATCATGCGCACATATCCAGCAAGAATATGCAAAATGGAATATGAGCAGCAGAAAATTCGGTCTTCAATCAACAGACCTTGAAATGTGGCCCACCACAAATCAGAATTGCTAGGGAACGTCAAAGTTTGACCACTCGTAGCTGGATCAAGAATGGGGATGGGAAGAGCAACCGTTCAATGATTCAAGAGCAACCAAAAGCATATCAAAGCATAAGCAAACATAGAAAACATAATTCAAAAAAAACACGCAAACATTGACACAATATGTTTCAACATAATTATTACAACATCACATGACACTACATGAAGTGCGTATATCCGCCGACCCCGGCCTTGGCCAAGGCAGGGGCGGCGCCTGGGACCACCGCAGGTGTGGAACTTCTCCTTCTTCGCTTTCCAAGGTCAAACCCATCTCGCAGCCAGCAAGCTGCCCCAAGGCCACATCTCGTAAACTTTTTCCTGGCATGCTTCGTTCTCCAGTTAAGAGTTCCAGGCATTTGGACATGAAAATTACATGCTTTGGGCAAGTAAGTTTTCCTCCGGAAGGTTTTGTCTGAAGGTTTTGTCTTTCAAGGCTCCTTCTTCGCTTTCCAAGGTCAAACCCATCTCGCAGCCAGCCAGCCGGCGCAAGGCCACATCGCATAAACATTTTCCTGGCATGCTTCGTCCTCCAGTTAAGACTTCCAAGCATTTGGACATGAAAATTACCTGCTTCGTCCTCCAGTTAAGACTTCCAGGCATTTGGACATGAAAATTACATGCTTTGGGCAAGTAAGTTTTCCTCCGGAAGGTTTTGTCTGAAGGTTTTGTCTTTCAAGGCTCCTTCTTCGCTTTCCAAGGTCAAACCCATCTCGCAGCCAGCCAGGCATGAACAGGCACCCCAAGGCCACACATCAATGGCTTCTTATGGGCCGCTTAAACAATCCCTTGGCATGCTTCATCCTGCAGCCAACAGGCACCCCAAGGCCACACATCAATGGCTTCTTATGGGCCGCTTGAAAGGCTCCTTCTTCGCTTTCCAAGGTCAAACCCATCTCGCAGCCAGCCAGGCATGAACAGGCACCCCAAGGCCACACATCAATGGCTTCTTATGGCCCGCTTAAACAATCCCTTGGCATGCTTCATCCTGCAGCCAACAGCCACCCCAAGGCCACACATCAATGGCTTCTTATGGGCGTCCAAGCCTGCCGTTTGCCAGCCCCTAAACCCTTAAAACCCTCCAAACGCTTAAAGCCCTTAAAACCCTTAAAACGCTTACTTGGCATGCTTCATCCTGCAGCCAACAGCCACCCCAAGGCCACACATCAATGGCTTCTTATGGGCCGCTGAAACAATCCCTTGGCATGCTTCATCCTGCAGCCAACAGGCACCCCAAGGCCACACATCAATGGCTTCTTATGGGCCGCTTGAAAGGCTCCTTCTTCGCTTTCCAAGGTCAAACCCATCTCGCAGCCAGCCAGGCATGAACAGGCATCCCAAGGCCACACATCAATGGCTTCTTATGGCCCGCTTAAACAATCCCTTGGCATGCTTCATCCTGCAGCCAACAGCCACCCCGAGGCCACACATCAATGGCTTCTTATGGGCCGCTGAAACAACGCCTTGGCATGCTTCATCTTGCAGCCAACAGGCACCCCAAGGCCACACATCAATGGCTTCTTATGGGCGTCCAAGCCTGCCGTTTGCCAGCCCTTAAACCCTTAAAACCCTCCAAACGCTTAAAACCCTTAAAAACCTTAAAACCCTTAAAACGCTGACTTGGCATGCTTCATCCTGCAGCCAACAGCCACCCCAAGGCCACACATCAATGGCT